ATACTTACACCTATATCTATATCTATAATGTATACCTATATCTATATATCTATATCTATAATCTGTATCTACACATATATCTATATCTGTATCTATATCTATCTATACCTATATCTATAATCTATACCTACACCTATATCTGTATCTATATCTATCTACACCTATATCTATATATCTATAATCTATATCTACACCTATATCTATATCTGTATCTATATCTACACCTATATCTATAATCTATACCTACACCTATGTCTATATCTGTATATCTATCTATACCTATATCTGACATATCTATATCTGTAATCTATACCTATGTCTACACCTATTCCTAGACATATCCCTACCTATACCTGTATCTATATCTATCTCATCTCTCTATGTCAAAAAACCAGGAAGGCCAGTTAGTCAGACACTGCAGCCAGGACCCACAAACCAAGTACACCTCCCAGCTGATGTTAGGGGAGCCAGGAAGTTACCTGAGAGGAAACTGAGGCTGGCATTGATGAGGTGGAAATACGTACTTTCAGGAATTATATAGGTGGATTCCAAACCCATAATCAAGTTAAGGAAGAAGGAGAGGTTGAGGATCAAAATCAACATGACCCTGACCAGTTTCAGTTCATCTGTTGGAAAGCAGAAGCTGTATTGAGGGAAGGACTGATATTTCTTCTAGGTTCATTTCTACCTGGAGTCCACACATCTTTAGGTCAAAATAGGAGTAGGGGAAAAAGTTTGATGAAACAATAAATAAAGAAGGTAGGAAAAAACAAAGAGTTGGGGACTTGAAGCTGAATGGGAGAGAGAACAAGAAACTATTGTCTATGCTGATGTCTGGATAAGCTTCTTTTTCCTTCTTTTATTTTCTCAGAACTCTTGTTAGAAACCTCGATTCATTCACCCTGTCCTCTTCTAGGGGCAGTACAGCCTATTTCACTTACTGCCAGTCACTTTTCTTTCATACTGGTCGTGTTCTAGCTACACTGACCCCCATGCTGCTAGTGCCAGGACTGCTCAAATGTCTAGCAACTAAGCCTGTGAGCATGTAACCTTTTGACCCAAATATTCAAGGGGTGAGATTTTGGAGTCTGCCTTGGCTATGTTGTTTATGAAAGGAAGGCTGAGGAAGTTGTATCAGAGAATAACCGGTAAGCTGGTGAGGTGAGTGAAAGTCAAGGGAAGAGGAATCCTTTCTCTCCACCCATCTTGTTACAGGGGATAGTTCTGACCTTCTGGCCAATCCTTGCTGCAACACACCATCCATGGACTGTGTTTTACCTTGGTACCTTTTCCTTCTAGAATCAATTCAACCCATTCATCTATGATGATTCCTACTATCAACAAGACTATGATCCAGGAGGAGAAGAATATTTTCAGGGCCTGGATATTCCGGTTTGATATATGCACCATTGTGCACAGGGATTCCTAGTTGAGACCACCACCAATATTCCCCATGTCTCTTCTCTGATTTGACTAGTCACAGACAAAGAGAAAAATCTGAAATTTTCTTGATTGCTGAGGCATAGGCAGCAGCAGAAGCTGAAGTTGCCTATAGAACAGAGGATAACTCCCACCCTTCACCACTCCTATATCTCTTGGGGCTGGCCTGTTGTCAAGACTCCCAACTGCCTTGGAATCATCTACTGTTTTGACCCTTGACCCTGGGGCATAGTGCAGTGGAAGAACCCAAGAGTCTTGAGAGAACTTCGAGGTACAGTGGGAGATGTGACATCACATGCAGAGACAGCTAACCGATACAGGGGTAATTAGAAGACTTCAAAGAAATTGGACATGCATCCAATTTATGAGTTAGAATTATATTCTCCAAGATTAGTTCACACCTGGGAGGAGTCAACAATGAGGAAAAGAGTTTCAAGATTATTGAGATGAATGGTCAGCTAGCTAACATCACGAAAGGGAATGACCATTCAACATGTAGGATGTTCTAAAGAAAGTTGGGTCCTCATGCGGAAGGCCTAGTCAGTTTAGTCAGGCAGTCCTTCAGGAACTAAACCAATGCCCAGCAGCTGAAGAGCCAGCCTGATGTGCTGACTGACCATTGTTGTCTAATATCATCTGTAGGGCACAGGCAACCCTTTCTATCCAGAATTGTCTTTGAAACTTGGCAGAGGAAACACTTTCAGATTCCTTGAACTGGTAACCATGGTATGTACCAGACTCAGGACCAGAGGACTTTTTACTGAAATCTTAAATAAATAAATTTTTTAAAAAATCTTTTACTAACCTAAGATGAAAGTTAGGCTTCCCTCTGGCCTGTTTCTTTGAACTCCTTACAGGTCAATTTCCTTGGACCAAAAAGAACTTTTCTCATAGCCTTAAAAACACCAAACAACCACTCTTCCAGACCTCTCTATACATCTTACTATGTTAGTATATTATCTTTTTTTGTGATAGTGTCTAACTCTGTCACCCAGCCTAGAGTGCAGTGGCCTCAACATAGCTTGCTGCAGCCTCAAATTTCTGGGCTTGAGTGATCCTCCCATCTCAGTCTTCCTAATAGCTGGGATTACAGATGCATGACACCACCCTCAGCTAATTTCTATATTTTTTTTATAGAGATGGGGTCTTGCTCTTGATCAGATTGGTCTCAAACTCCTGGCCTCAAGTGATCCTCCTACCTTGGCCTCCCAAAGTGCTAGGATTACAGTATGAGCTCCCATGCTCAGCCCCTTTCTTTATCTTTTTAATTTTCAAAAGCAATGCTCAACAAGATATTTAATATTACAAGGAAGGCTTTATGGTTAAGAATGATGGACTCAAGACATGCTTAAGTCATGACTGTACCACTCAGCTGCTGTGTTGTCTCAAGAGATAATAATGCTTCCTTCTAGATGAGGGTTTTGTAAAGTTTACCGTGTTTCCCCAAAAATAAGACGCTGTCTTATATTTATTTTTTCTCAAGAAGACACACTAGGGCTTATTTTCAGGGGAATGTCTTATTAATAATACAACAATCTACATTTATTCAAATACAGTTAAGTCATCTTCTTTTGGAACCTGACAAGGGGGAGCTGACCTTGTTGGTGGGACTGGCACTAGTGATGAGTGAACTCCTTTCCCCTAGCCATTTTCACGTGTGCAATAGGATGCCTGCCACCACGGTTACCCATGCAGATGCCTGCCACTGCGGTTACCTGAGCAAGTGAGAATGGCTCAGAGAAAGGAGCTGAGGCAGATGTCCAGTCTTCCTTACCTCTCTGCGCTGAAATGCCATGCCCATCCCTAGGTCTTATTATGGGGGTAGGGCTTATATTTAACAAATGCATAGAAATCCTGCTAGGGCTTATTTTGGGGGTAGGTCTTATTTTCAGGGAAATGTGGTAAATAAGTTTAGAGACATAAAGCACTTGAAAGAGTTCCTGGCACATAGAAAATAATCTGTTAACAATTATGATAGTATTAATTTGGATTCCAAGGTGAAAGATTCCAAGGCAGAAATTTGTATGATGAAAAGCAGGTTTGAGCAGAAGTTAAACTGAGATGTGCCTGCAACAGAAAAATAAACCTTAGCTGACCCATTAGGAGGTCTGATCTGGGCTGGTCCTTTAGCATCATCCTGAATAGAGGCAAAAATTCTCAGGTTTTACACTGAGTGTCACTCTATCATTGAGTGCAGGGTGTCCCTGGGAGGGCATCTCACTTCTGTCTCAAGGACAATTCTTAAATCTCTCATAAGCTTGAACCTCCACAGTCAACACTTCTGGGAGCTCTGGGAGTGAGCGCCCACCCTTCTCTATTTCTGTATCAGGGCTGGCTTGTGTTTAGGACTGCCAACTGCCATAGAATCATCTATGTGTTTGACCCTTGACCCTTGAGCCTAGTGCTGTGGAAGGATCAAGAGGGCTACGACTCATATTAGTATGTTCTTTTTTGTTGGTGATTATACTTATATGCCATAGATTCCAAGCAGTAGGATTCCTGGGTTGAAAGATTTATGTTTCATTGTAGTTTTAACAGGTAGTGACAATAAAGTTTCAAATATATAGACAAATTATCAGATAGGCAGATAGGGCGTGAGAGATGACTGCAATACTGGTTAAAGAAGAAATCGAGTTTCCACCTAGGGAAGAATAATAGTCAAAGATACCATTTATTAAGATTGATAATGTGGTGGGGGGCGGGTAAGGAGGAAGTTCATAAGTACTGGCTCTGGTTAAGTTTAAGGTGTCTATAGGACAGGAGATTGACAAAAAATTAAGTCTGAAACTTGGTGACAAAGAAGGAGATTATTAATCTTGGGGGTGGTAATTGAAACAGGTGTGCATGTCACCATGTAGAAATATCACACAGAATATGATGAGGGATAGAGAAGGAACTCTATGAGAAAGTGCAAAGAACGATTGATCAGGTAAATGGCAAAGAAATACAAATGTTGCTGAGGAATTAAAAAGAATTGCTATAGTGTTGAGGAGAGATGGAGCAATGATTTCTAAAGCTGCAGAGAAATCAGATTAAGTGGAAGCTGAACACCGGTCACTGAATTTGGCGATCAAAATGTCATCAGTGACTCTGGTGATAGCACTGTCAGTAAATTATGGGAGAAGTGGAAATAGAGGCAAAATTTACTTTTTAAAAATGAATGGCTAGATTCATAACTAATGATAAAAGGAAAAATAAAAGTAGAATTGTAGCTTCAAGGGAAAATGTGTAATTTTGAAAAATACTGGAGAATAGAATACTAAATCTCTGTATGTCCTTCATCTGGCTTCAAAGATAATCCTCTGAATTATTCTGAACCAAATCATAGACATAATATCACAGGTAAATATTTGTGTCACTAGAAGATAAGGATATTTTTAAAATCATAAATAGATTTACTTACTCTCTCTTAATCTGGTTTATGAGAAAGTTATCAGTTTTGTTGGCCTTTTATTATGTTTTTGCCTTTTTTTGTTTGTTTGTTTTACAGAGTTGGGGTCTTGCTCTGTTATCCAGACTAGAGTACAGTGATACAATCATAGCTCACTGCAGCCTTGAACTGCTGGACTTAAGCAATTCTTCTTCCTCAGCTTTCCCAGTAGCTAGGACTACAGATGCATGCCACCATGCCTAGCTAATTTTTTTACTTCTTTTTAAAATTTCAGGCTAATGCGAGTGTACTAAAAACTAGGTTACAATATTTGCATTTGGTAGGTAGAGACCCTTTTAGAGTTATGTCCTGTACCTAAAAGGTGTGCCATATACCCCTACATTGTGCCCACTAAGTGGGAGTACCCAATCCCCTCCCACCCTTCCCCCTGTGCCCTCCCTTGTTCCCCATCCCCCCAACTTGAATTGATTTAAGTTTTTTCTCTTACATGGGTGTGTATTAGATTGTCTACTGGCTTCATATTAGTATTGAATACATTGGATATTTGCTTTTCCATCCTTGTGCTACTTTACTGAGAAGAATGTGTTTCACCTCCATCCAGCTTAATACAAAAGATATAAAGTCTCTATCTTTTTATGGCTGAAGAGTACTCCATGTATACACATACCACAGGTTGTTAATCCATTCCTTCGTTGATGGTCATTTAGGTTGTGGGCTCAAGTGAGTCTCTTGCTTCAGCTTCCCTAGTAGCTCGGACTGTAGGCAAAATATTTTGTTAAGCAAAATAAGTCAGGTACAGAAAAATAAATACTGCATGTTCCCACTCATATATGGAAGCTGAAAAATTATTTAGCACTCATGAAAGTAGAGAGTTGAATTGTGAGTTTTTTTTTTTTTTTTTTTGAGACGGAGTCACACTATGTTGCCCTTGGTAAAGTGCTGTAGCATCACAGCTCACCATAACCTCAAACTCTTGGGCTTAAGTGATTCTCTTGCCTCAGCCTCCCAAGTAGGTGGGACTACAGGTGCGCACCACAATGCCCGGCTATTTTTTATTGCAGTTGTCGTTGTTTTAGCTGGCCTGGGCTGGGTTCAAACCAGCCAGCCTCAGTGTATGTGGCTGGCACTGGAACCACTGTGCGATGGGCGCCAAGCCTGAATTGTGACTATTAAAGTATAGAAAGGGCAGCAGAGAGGGAGGAGGTTGGCCAATGGATACAAAACTATAGCTAGATGGGAGGGATGAGGTCTGGTTTTCTGCAGCACTGCAGGGTGAATATGGTAACTATAATTTATTGTATATTTTCAAAAGGCTTGGAGAGAGAATTTTAAATGTTCACAACACAGAGAAGTGATAAGAGTTGGAGGTTATAGGTGGGCTAAGTATCCTGATTTGATCATTATATACTATATACGTACTTCAAGGTATCACTCTGTATCCTATATATAAATACAATTATTACCTGTCAACTAAAAATTAAAAAAAAACAAACCTTGCCTTAGGGAGTGAGATAACTTGTCCAAGGACCACATACAAGCAATAAATAGCAGATATGGACCTTGATAAGTCTGAAAAATG